CGCAGCAACCAGACAAAGAGGAAAGGTGAGCTGGTGCACCGTGACCGACAGGCGGACGAGGCTCACTTCCAAATGTTCCTGCAAACAGATTGCTTGTGCATAGTCCGTGAGCGATACGCCATGTGTGCTAATCTCCAGGGGTGCGTTCGCAGTTCTCTTTGCCATGAGAGAGGGAAGGCTCGGGCACCAATTGCTACAAGGACCAGCACACGGGTGCCAGCCCCACAAGCAAATGCCACACTTGGCAGGGGCAGAAAGCTCCTTACTCTATTCTTACTCTCCTGGGAGATTGACCTCCCTTGAGCCAACTGCAAACAAAAAACGAAACACAGTGAAAAGCATAGAATCTACAAGGTAACCCACTTTAGTTGGTTAGGTGGTACGCCAAGTGTCCTTTGGGTATACACCCGCGGATGGGGACAGATGGTCGGTGCACCTTTATTGCTGTCGAAATGTGCGTGGGGATTGACGCCCAACCCAGTTCCGTGAAGGCGTACAACAAAGATGCCAGGGCGCCCCTTGCCTTAGGAGGGGCGACTCGAAGTTCTGTACTGCTGCTCTGCACACTTGGTCGGCTGCTGCTGGCCCCCATCTCTGTGCCCTGTGTTGGTCCGGTCCAACTGGCATGGTTACAGAGAGAGGGCATTGCCAGTTGCGCTTGCAAGGGACTAGGCTGCTGCACAGGCCCAGGTGGCCACCCGCACAGACGACTAGCCAGTAGTCGGCCCATAAGCCAGATGCCAGCTACCGCTGGCATGGCTCTACCAATCGCAGAGGCAGCCAGTTGAGAGAAGAAATTCAGGTTCCCTTCGGTGGTCGTGAGGATAACCGTGGACGTGGATCTCGAAATTCTTCCCATTCACTGAGGGACATGACGGGCTCCTCTTCAAAGGCCCAACTGGTGTTCGGCACTGGTATGGCAAGCAGCTCGGCCGGGAGAACGACCAATGAGTGAAAGGGGAGGACATGAGTATTCAGCGGTCCCTCTTGGAGATGCCCCGCCCACTGCAACATTGGTGCGGTCGGTCCCGCAAGGCCGAGATTGAACAAGTGTTGATGCAGGACGTACCGTTGATCAACTGTGTTTCCAACGAAGATGATGCCACTCCGTGAGAGGAACACTCCATCTCTGTCAGAAGCAAAAGGATATACAGTAGTGTTATCCTGCAAGTGAGCAGCCACACGACGAAGGATCTGCGGTATGTGCACAAGGCGATAACATGAGGGGTCAATCGCACGATAGCGACCCAACATCTTGTTCCTCGCAGGCAACAATCCGGCAATGCGGAGATGATAGTATTGGCCTTGAAGCCGGAACGCGCAACGAATGAGGTAAAGACGATGACGTCTGGTAGCTATTTCCTGAAGATGCTCCGTAATGTTCAAAACAATTCAGGATCACATTCCACCACTCGGGTCCACGGCGGCAGTATGTGCAATGAGAGGAAAGGCGACTGGCACGCCTGCTCTGACATGTGAGTCGCAGATGCAAGTATCCGTTGGCCAACTGTCACGAGAACTGCTCCTAGATGTACAGTTGGCTCGAGCCAAATGGCCTCTGATGCCAAGAAGCAACCCCATCACGCTGAGAATACTGTTTGACACGAGGCAACAAGCCGTTTCAAGCAACAAGCAACAAGAATGCAATTCTAGGAACACAAGTAGCCTATCAGTTAGAAGGAGCCAGGGTCACTGAGCTAATTGAGGCGTCGCCTTTTAGCAGAGCTGACAATTCTGGCCCGCTTAGCAAGCCGCTCTTCTAACAGCCGTTGAGCCTGAATGCCGTCCGCCTGATAGGTACGCTTCCGGCGGAGGGCAGCATGTGGCGGGAGCGGATGTTGGCAGGGAGTGCCCGCGGTAAGCTTACATCGCTTATGAAACGACACAGACAGAGCGACAAGTTCTCTCTTAAAGGCCTCACTCTTAGGCCGTAATGATTCACAGCGAAAGAGCGGAGGGTCATGTGGAGAGAGACTATAGCGATCACAAAGGAGACGATGCAATTGTGTAAAGTGCTCTTCCGCAGGGCAAGGTGCGGCCCAGAAGCCATCATGCAACCATATACTGAGCGGAATCCAACCAAAGGCTGGAGAAAGTTATAGGCAGCCCAGGCTAGTTGCTGCTCCAAGGTTTCATAGAAGCGAAACGGGGCAGCTCGGCTCCGGTCTATCACACGGACAGGACACCAGGACGGTGGGCGGTGCGTGACATACCTACTAGCGGCATGGAGCTCATATGCAAACCGCGTGAGTTCGGGCGGTAGGTGGCCAAGTAGATAGGGTAGCTGACGTGGGAGGAAGGCAAGCGCTTCTTGTGGAGAGTCGCTGTTAATGACAATGAGGGGCCATCTCTTGATAAACGCATCAAAGTCATCCGGGATAGCTTGGCTTTCGGTAGGCATTGGCACAGTTCGCAGCCAGTCCCTAACGAGATGAATGGGACGCAGGGAAGCATGAACTCCCGCTTGGGCGCACTATCTCCGTGTAAGTTCATAATGTGCTCCACTAATATCAATTTCGCAGTGGTCATCGCCAAACAAGAGAAGCCTGGCTTGACGGGGGAGCTGCTGAGCTGCTGATCCGATAGCATAAAATCGTCCACACCCATCATCAGAGGATGGTTTGTAGCCTATGGCTAGTCCACCTTCACTGCATCTAGCAGTGGCAAGGTAGTCTTGGACCACACGTATGTTGTGTATCATCTGAGAGAGCAGCACAGCTAGCTCCTCAGGTGCAACTGTCGGACATTCAGTGAGCACAAGAGCAGGCATTGGTTGAAGAATGCCATGTTCTATCACGAAACCAAGTTTCTGAGCTAGGTGATATGGCGGCAGCGCCCGATGGGTAGAGACAACAAGCGGCTGGTCGACATGCAACTTTGCTTTCGCACTCGCTACCCCAGCAAAGTGGTCAGCAAGTTTGTTGCATTCGCGAGGCAGATATACCAACTGGAAAATGAAAGGGGCACAAGAGAGTAGCCGCTAGCAGTCCTCTAATATGCGAACTACAGCAAGCCGTTTAACTCTTCCTTTGCCTTGTAGGTAATTGAGGAGTGGAAGGATATCACCCTGTATTACAATTCCATCTTGTGACATTCCTCGCTCCAGGCAATGTCTGTCATACTCAATGGCAAGTTGTACCGCTGCTAAGCATGCGTGAGCCTCTGCCATGACATTATCCGCACATGGAACAAGCGGTATGGATTTCCATCGGACCAGGGTTGTGGCTTCTTGTGTGACCTGCAGGAGGCTAACTCCGGCCCCTCCTGTCTGAGTGCGCTTATGAGCCGAGCCATCGAACTGAACCAGGGAGCCTCTCCAATCCAAGGCTTCGCCAAGGAGGAGAATAGCATTGTCTGGGATATCGTCCGTGGCTTGTAGCTTCATATGCGTGGCTCCACAATGACAAGTATATGGAGCCAGGGCGGCAGTGGCGGCAGGAAAGGGGAGCCGTCTGTATTGCGTGAGGAGCAGGCGCAGTCGCACATCCGCCGACCCAAAAGTGGCAATGGTGTCATGTTTGCTAAAGGCACGATTTGTACAAAGCCCTTTGTCAGGGAGTAGGGCAGAATCAATTTGCGTTTGAGGGAACCTCTGCACCCGGACCTGGGTGGTGCTAGTGCACGGCAAGTCCTGGTGTACAGGTGGTGCCCGAAAAAAGGGCAAGAGGGTGGCCGGCAAGGAATGATAAATTCGCTAACACAAATCCACAACATGTCGCTGGGCAGAACGTACTTTAAGACACTCAATAGTCGGTCGGAGGCCCCCATGTTCTGTAACGATACGTCGTGTGTGGAAGAGCAGATAGCATAATGCAACTCCTGTGCGCCGTTCCGGTGTCCGCCGCCAATCAATAGGTGGCGGGCAACCTTTCCAGAGCACTAACCAAGCACTTTGTACCACCGGACAATACGAGAGCCAGCGATCAATAGCATTGGCTCCTTCTTGACACAGGACACAGGGAATGGGGGCTAATTGACTCAGCGGACCCTCGGAGGAGAGCAGTTTGGAAGCAATAGGAGCGGATAGGCCATCAGAGCTGACAGAGCCACTGCTCCTAGCCGAGGCGTGCAAATTCATGAGACTAAGAAGTTCATCTGACAAAGGAGACAGGGGTCCTAGGCTATTTCCTGTACAGATAAAGCACAGGCCACACCATACACAGGAGGAAGTACGACTAACGCGTTTCATAAAGATTATTAAGCTCATTTAACTTTCAAGATTCCTCAACAACATTTTTTTTCACTCATACCTCCAAAGCAATAAAACACATAGAAATACGCCAGGATAGCGAATGCCAGCAAGCGCTTTATAACCATTAATTCATTACGCCAAACCTCAAAGACCGATTTAAGCGGCGGAGTGGCCGTCCTCCTTTCCAATTTCGTCCATTTCGAGACGTCCAAAGAAAGTAGAGCGACAAGTTTATGCTAAAAACGATTTAAAGCCGGCATCGCCGGTTAATCTTAATACCAATATTCAATTTCGATTATCATTTTTTTCCCACCACGCGTCCGAGGTAACTATGAAATCGGCAACCACTAGTTGTATAAGTAGAAGCCAATCTCCAAGCTAAAGTTACGAAGTGTTACCTTATATACTCCCCAAAGCTAAGAACTCAGCCACTTAGCGAATCACTTCAACACCTTTTATTTTGCACTGGCTATCATGCCCTTCAAAAAATCTATCGTTAAAGGAATTTTATACTTTCAACAAGCAAAGCCACAACCTCCATCTATTAGATTTCTAATGAA